TGGTATTAGGCATTAAGCAAAAATACCAGAGTTCCAATGACTTGCAGGCATCACACAATGTGAATGTTACATAAACATAAACATGTGGATTAGATAGAGCACAGCACATACAAAAGAAGATACCTTTAAATTTTAGCATGATATAATTAGGGTAAATTGTTCTTTAAGGCATGATTTCATTGATTTTCAGAATATGAGAGTAATTTTTAGATGATGTTAAGGTTCAATTACTTAATCAAAGAATCTCTGATATGATTTCCAGATTCTATAGTCTAATAGGGTACCCCAAGACAATTCATCCAGGAAAAATTTTATTCAAAAAAATTCACAAAGTTTTAGGCAGGATTTGGAAACTTTTTGTTGCCACCCTCCAAACTTAAAATAACTTTCCACTCACTATATCATCATACCACCACCTTCTACCCTTCACAGTTCTTTGTCAGTAATCACTAGGGTATAGTGACTAAAACCATGAATTCAAAGTGACACAAATCTACTCTGTTGTTTACCAGATGCCTGACCTTGGGCAAATGATAATCTTGCCAAGCCTCAGTTTTCTCAGCTGAAAATGAGGATCACACCTGTCCTACTCGTAGGCATCCTTCCCTGAATCCAACAACTTCAAAGGTTCAGGAGACAAAAGATGTAAGCTAAAACATCCCTAGCTTCAATTTGTTGCCTCTTTTCCCTGTAAATCAGTGAAATGTCTATAAAGTTTCAACTTTTCAGTGTTTTACCTACAATACACAATTGCCTCCTTCCTGAAACACAAAAATCCATCAACTCTCACACTGCTCTGATAGTCAGCTGAGTTAAAGAATCTGCCCTTTGGAGTCCAGCAATCTATCTACTTTCTCTGTTCCTCAAATGTGAAAAGAAATCATAATCTTACCCCACTAATACTTTGCTGAAAGAAAAAGGATACGATGCACTAGGCTGCTTGTTGGAGTAAGCACTCAAGAGATGATCACTATCACTGATGGCCTGAGGTGTTGGTGCTTGGAATAAATGGTCACATGGGGTTTATCTGATGAGTGCAGCAGTCCTCAACATCAAGTACATGTTGGAATCTCCTGAGGAGATTTAATCAAGACTATTGCTTGGGTCACACCCCCAGAGATTGTAATCTAATTGATCTAGGATGCAGTCCAAGCAGCAAGATTTTGGAAAGCTATCAGTGAATTTTAACAAGCAGCCAGGGTTCAGAACCTCACTGGAACAGTTTGTCTCTTTCTCCTTCCTTCCCTTACTACCTTCCACCTTTCCCTTCTTTCTCCCTTCCTTTGTAAACAAAGGCAAGTAATCAATGAAGAGAGATGGGGAAATTGCTCTTCTAAGGATCACTGAAACACACAAGTTAAATGCAACTTAAAGGGTCTGGAGAAATCAAACTATTTTTTCTATAGCCCAATTGCCTATATCACAACTTGGAGATACAAAAAGTGAGAAGGGAAAAACAGGGGGGAAATTATCTCCTTGATGTCTTCAGTTACTTTTGCCTCAGGTCAGAGAAAGCACTAAATCAATACTAGAAATGCCCTAATTTCTTCCTAAGCTTCATAATCTTTTCCCATTGGGTCAGGTGATACATACTCAAAAAACAGCCCAACCACAGGACCTTGAATGAGGTAGTCCAAGACAAACAGAGAAGCCTATTTCCCTCCCTGCACCCCCATTCCTTTCCTTAGTTGCAACCCTACAATATGAAGAATTCACGCTCTGATTCTGGTACTGGCACACAATGCAATTTTTTCTAAAGCTTTCCCAATGTGTTTATATATATATATATATATATATATTCTTTTCTAATAAGAATAAACTAGCTAAATAAGGTATTTTGAAAGTCTACCACTTTCTGTTCAATATAGACAAATCTTTAAAGAGTGTTTCCACAGCCACTTGGGTACTAAATTCCAAGACACATGAATTTCAGAATTTGCAGCAGTGACTAGACATGCAGGAAAAAGATCTTCCTAAAGTTGAGATTTCAGTCATTGTGCAAAGGAATAAATGGAAAGCTTGTCTGCAGAAAAGTGTCCTGGGGACCTTCACTCCCACAAGCTCCATTTAATTCAGCATTCATTAAGCACTTTCTCTACATCTAGCACTTTCCAGATGGTGTGAGGGAGAGAAATCAGGCTCTTATAGGTAACAATTTCAATTGGTGGCTATACTACATATTACCACTTATACAGAGATCAGTCAGAAACGTAGATGTCATTCTTAACTCCTTCCTCTTTTGCACCTACAACTTGTCAGTGACCAAGTCCTATAAATTCCAATTCTTTAATAGCTTTTGAGTCCACCTCCTCCATCCATCTTTCCATCTCCACAGCCAGTTTATCCTGGCTCGTCTGCCTACTGCCAACCGTACTTTCAAATCCATTGTTTGCTCTGTCAGTGTAAATGCGATAGTTACAAAAAAAAAAAAAACTGATTGTTATGTCCCTACTTTAAAAACTTGAGTAGCAGGGCCGGAGCTATGGCATGGGGCATAGT